CTCCCACCCTCCCTGGTTCAATGCCCCAGGTTCACCAGCAGTGCCCAGAGAGGAAGGTGCCCTCTGGCACTGGCTTCCAACAGAGCAATGGGTGCCAGGTTATTTGAGAGGCATCAGGGGYGTGTGGGGAAAACAAGGTAGTGTCCACCCTGAAGAAGCTTATGCAGTAAAAACCAGATGAAGATACAGTGTGGGAACTCAGAGAAGCTCTAAGTGGGCATCTGAGAAGGTTTGAGGAAGAAGTGGCACTTGAGTTGTACCTCACAGAGAAGGGAAATACTATCCAGGCAGAGACAACTGCCTGTGTAAAAGTGTGGAGGCACAGGATGTCAGGAGCACAGGATGTCAGGAGCAGAGCCCCAGGTACTTAGTTCTTTCTTCCTGACAGCAGCACAGGTGATTGTAGGGAAAAAGCAGGAGTGGGCAAACCAACAGAAGCTAGATCTCAGAGCCATGTGTACCCAGCGAGGCATCTGTGCTTCATCCAGATAGGCTTGGGGAACTGCTGAATCATTCCATCTAGACAGAATCAGATTTTCATTTTCTAAGAGAGCTAGGGATGGATTTGGATTTGGAACCTAGAGAATGAAAAATGTTGATCAGGAGCCTATTGCYAGCTTCCCCTGAGAGAGCATGAGTGGGATAGGAAGAAAGTAAGGACCTGACAAATGCTTGGAGAAGCTGCCTGTGTTCCAAACTCATTGGGGGTGGGCACAAGTTGGGGGGAGACACTTGGGTAACTTTAGATTCTGGCTTGGGGAAGTGGGCAGATGATGGTGCACAAAGAACAGGTTTGATAACAATGAGAATAATATTTATGGAGCCCTTACAGCATGTCAGGCACTAAACACTCACCTTTCCCCCCACACCCCCAGTACTGGGAGCAAAACCCAGGGGCACTTTAACATTGAGCCGTTTTTTAAAAATAATGTCTAAATTGCCCAGTCTGGCCTGGAACTGGTGATCCTCCTGCCTCAGCCTCCCAAGTAGCTGGGATTATAGACGTGTGCCACCACACCTGGCAACACTTTACTAATATTTTAAATAAGGTTAAGTTTATTTAATTCTCACAATAATCTATGAAGTAGGTACTACTGTTATCTGAACCTTAATATAGGGCAAATGAGTAAGTAGTCAAGTTGGGATGATGGGCATATGCCTGAACTTTGCAGAACGAATGGGCAGAATCTGAAGCCCCTGCGAGATTTTCCCAAGTTGCTCTACCAAAAATCTGTGCTCCCTACCACTAACTCCTCCCTTCTTCCCAGCCTTCAGTATCCAGTGTCCTCTCTTCCCCACAGTTKCAGTCATTGTCACTGGTCTCCTCCCTCCCTTCCTCACCTACCCCACCTCAGCCAAGGACCTTGTGGAGGCTAAGCCTTGTGACCGGAAGACAGGGCTCCAGAACCCTGGTACTGAGACCCCACCTTCCCAGTTACAATACAGGATCCAACTGAGACTGCAGGAACAATCAGAAAAAAAACAAGAAAATGGATGTCTTCCGTTTGTAATTGAAATAAATGAAACAAACCAAAAATAAAAGTTGCATTTGGATGACATCAGAGAGAAGGTCATGAAAGGTCTCCCTCAGTACACTCCCTGATTACTTTCTTTCAGAAAAGGGCATGGTCCTAAAGCAAGCATGCATGGCCCTAGAGGAAGCTCCTCCAGCTCCATTTCCCTTTCCGCAGCCTAGGTTCTGGAACACTCAGTCTGACTTCAATAGSCATAGGAGACAACAGGACAGCCACTGCATGTGAGCCCCACCCACCTGTTCCCAGTCCCAGCACTGGGGGCAGGGCTGTTCTGGGTTTCCAAGTTGTCTCTCACCAATCTTCAGACTGATAGGCTAGGGAGGAAAGGGATGGAGCAAATAGGTGTGCGGGAGAGAGCCAGTGGGTTTTCTCTGGAGAGTTTTTAGGCATAGAGAGCCTTCCTTGAACCAGGTTAAATGGACTATCTAAGTTACACAGAGCAAGTGGCCCAGGACATGAGCTGTTTTAGGCAGAATTTAGAATGACCACTTGTTTCCCACCTCCCTTACCACTTTTTTTTTTTTTTTAACCCAAGGGCATTTTGAGACAGGGACTTGCTTCWTTGCTGGAGGTCTCACTAAATTGTTGAGACTGGCCTTGAACTTATAACCTTTCTGCCTCAGCCTTCAGAGTAGTTAGAGACCTGCTCCACCATGCCTGGCCCTCAGCACCTTAAACATAGGAAAAAGGCCCACTAAATCCCCAAGAGCTTTCTGGAATGGTGACCTATTCCCAGTAATCTAAGGGCAGAGCAGTGAGAAGCCCTGATTTCTGACATCAAGAGGTGGGATATTGTCTGTCTATATTTTGGGGTTCCAGGCTCCAGTAAGCTGCCATTACCTTTGTAGTGTCTAGGGACAGGAGGGCCTTTAGGAGGCYGGGTTCTCTTCACAGGGTTGTGCTTCTGTCTTTGATTGGATTTCTGCCTGTTATATGGGAATCTTTCTTTGATCTCAGAGCAAGAGGTGCTTGAGGCCATCTCTGCATTGTTCAGGACCTGCCGGAGCCCTACAAACAAACAGGAGGCACCACAACATACAAGAGGTGAAAGCAGTGTTGTGCTAATACTGAGTCACAGCCCAAAAGTGGAGAGATCAATTTAGAGAACACCTTAAAAAATGAAAAAGACTACAATATATGCAATAGAAAATATCAGAATATATGCACATAGCAGGGATAGTATTGTCCTGTGAAAATTTTCTTTCAGTTATCTCACAATATAAAATGTGTTTTTTGCTATGGGCCACTGAATCCCTGGACAAAAGAACACTGGTTAAGTCAATAAAGTCAAGATGCATAAAGTGAACACATAAAGGCTCTTCTGTGTCAGGCACTATGCTAGGCACAAGAGATCCATTAGTAAACAGGATGGCCCCTAATCTCAATGTGCCTTCTAGTTGGGAAGCCAAAAGGCAAGCAGTTCCAGAAAAGGTGCTAAATGCCCCAAGAGAGTATGTAGGAGGCTATAAATTCCTCCTGTGATAGTGGAATCTGGGGAGGGCTTCCCAGAGGAGGTGGTGTAGAATTCTTAGCAAGACTATGACTAGTTCTAGTACTGCCTCCATATTATAGGTAGAAAGAAAACAATGTAAAGTGTCAAGAGTTCAGGTCTAAAAGTCTAAAGCCAACTCTAGTCCTGCCTTCTCAACAAGCTGTGTGGCTGCGGATGAGTCGGTTAACCTTTCCAGACAGTTTTTCTTCACCTTCAAAATTGGCATGATATTTGCTCTGTTATCTCAGAGAAGAGAGAGATCAAATCAAGTAGAAAATGTTTATGAAAGTATGTTGTAAGCTATAAAAGGGGAAGGACTGTCTATATGTATGAAGAAAGAGAAGCAGAAAAGTGAAGAGACCTACTCAACATTATTGATAATGGGGTAGCAGGTCCCCCTCAGTCCTCAGTCCTCCACTCTTATCTATACAGTTCCCACTCTAACTGAACTGACCTTGTAAGAGAGCAGAGGCAGGGTCCAAAAAGGCCTCCTGGCAACCTGACTATTGAAGATTACCTTAAGGATCCTATTGTTTTAAACKGTGGGAGGTAAATATGTCATAACTCCTCCGTTTTCCCTTCTGTTAATGAATTAGAATCTACCCAAACTCAGTGTTTAAAGTTACATAAGCATCATTCAGATCTTCTGTAACAGCCACTTTCATTTTGGAAAAGCAGCATTTCCATTAAAATGGTGTTATATAAAAAGGTTTTGTGTATGTGCTCAGGAACAGCAGGAACAGGCAAGCATGAGCACTGTTAAGGCACACAGGCACATACATATTATGACAATGGCAAATTAAGTTTTGACTACCATGGCAAATTAAGTTTTGACTACTTGTCCTCTGACCACTAGTAAGACCCTATGCATGTTGGGCAATAAGAACTTCAGCATGAAAGTCAACAAACATGCCCAATTCCCAGAGAATAGAGAAGTCCCAACTCTTCTGGAAGCCCCTTCACTGGCAGGATGAGTTCCACTGAATTAGGCACATTAGGGCTTGAAGTAGGTCAGAAGTCACTCATTGCAAGCTTACTCTACCCCAGACTTGCCCACCTTGAACAGCTAGCTCCCTTCCTTCCAAGACAGTCCATGTCACCTGTGGAGAGATGTAGGTAACTGAAAAAGACCTGATTTTGAGCTGAAACCTACCTTTTTGGAGCTACCACCTCTTGGAGACCAATGGAAATCCCTTGCTACAACCTTAGGCAAGGATCTCCTGAGAGTTTAAAGTAAGTCCAAGAGAGTACCCTAGGAGGGTATCCTGGGGTCTGAAAAGCAAGGAGATTGGGCAGCCTGAGCCCACAGGGTTGAAGCTCCTCCTTTAAGAGACCTCTATTCAGCTGAGGATAAAGCAATTGGGAAGGGGAATAGATTGGGAGGATGGGGTGCCTGAATAGGAGCAAGTGAATGGCTGAGTAAAGCCCTGCACTTCAGGTCTCATTTTAAATTTGGAGGTCACACAGTCCTAAGGCCAGTTCCAGCTATGACACTCTAGAGTACTAGGTCCTCACCTGCTCCCCATCCCTTTCGGAATTTGATGGTTGTACTCTTTTGTGTAAATCAGTGGGTACTAAGCAGGGCTAAGCAGGAAGTAGGTTAACTGCTCCAGACCTCTGCTACCATAGCCCGTCCCAGGTTAGGCTTCTCGTCTAGCTCTTCTTCTTCTTGAGAGAACAGCAGTGACAAGAACACCCCAGCACCTAGCAGGGAAACGTGAGCTTTGGAGTGGCCTTTTAAGTAGTTGGCAAGGGGGTGTGGCCGAGGAGACTGGGAGGCCGCAGCCGGGCGAGGGGGGAGTGGCCCGGGGGCGTGGCCGTAGCGATTGGAATGTTGTTGGGTCTTCGCACCGCATAGTAAAGAGGGGGCACGCCCCTTTTCTCCGAGAGGACCAATCGGAACGCCGGAGCGGTTTCAAGTCTCCCCCGCCAGCCTGCCCGCCCGCCACCCCACCCCCCTCGGGGATTCGCTTTTTCGGTAACAAAATAGCAAAGCTCCGGACCATCCGCAGTCCAGGCCGCTTACAGGTGGAGGGCCCCCGGGCCTAGGACTCTGGCCTGGAGTGGGAAGCGCCGGCAGGCCGTRGAGAGACCGGGTCAAGATCCGGGAGTCGCGCGGGGGTGGGCGCTGCAGCCGCGGGTTGTTTATCTGGAGTACGGAGGGGAGGGGGGAGCCTGGAAACCGCCCCGTGTCCCATTTCCTCCTCTTGTTTTCGCTCCGGATTCTCCATGTTGGACCCAAACTGAGGAGCCCGGAGCTGCCACCGGGGGATCCGGGCCGGGGGCACCCGGGGGAGCCACTGCCCGGGCCGCCCGCCCTCGGTACAGGCCTCCTCCCTTCCCGGCCCGGGGAGGAAACGAGAGGGGGGATGTGAACAGCTGTGGGAGTCGGAGTCTCGGGAGCCGGAGCGGGCCCCCGCCCAGGCCCCCCAGCCCAGCCCAGCCTGCGCGCCCGCCAGTCCTCCCGCCCAGCCAGCCCGGGCCCGCGGAATTGTTAGATGGAACACGGCTCCATCATCACCCAGGCGCGGAGGGAAGACGCCCTGGTGCTCACCAAGCAAGGTAGGGGTAGCAACTTCCCAAAACTTTGAGTCGCCCCCGGGCGGGGAGGGGGCTAGCACATCTCGGAACCCGCGTCTCGGCCCCTGACCTCTTGGGGCTCAGGACGGGTGATTCCAACCTGACACCCGGGTTCATCTGCCCCCGCGTCCTGGTCCGCACTCAGACCGGGTGGGGGCCACGCAGGGCCCGAGCTCCCCGCACCCAAGGGGGAGGGGTGTCATCGCGCAGCTGTCACCGCGTCCTGCAACCCTCCCCCTGGGGCAGAGACGGAGAGGTAGAGCTCCAAGCTCTAGCCCACCACGTCCGCCCCCTCCAGAGTTGAGGCGGAGGAGGGGGGCGGGTAGTCACTTTCCTGCAGCGCTGCGCGCAGCTGCCCCAGCACCAAAGGAAAGGGTGAGGAGGGATAGAGGGGTCCCAAGCTGGAATGGAGCCGGCATTCTAGTTCATCACTTTCCAGGTCCCCCAAGCTTTAGGTCTCTCGGACAGCAGGCGTTGACTGCGTCCGGTGGGACTTGGGACCAAGTTCACCGTCTGGAGGCGGGGGCGGCCGTAATGGGGGAGGGGCCCGKGCCCTGGTGGACTAGACTTAGCCAGCTCACGGCTCTGCGCCGGGCCCGGGACCAAGGTGGCCCAGGGCTCCTGCACGGCTGCCCCCTCCGGTTTTGCTGAGCAAACAAGCCCGACCCGAGGCCCGGCCGAAGCCCCTCCCTGCCCCGGTGCGCTCCCCCGGGGCCGCCGCTGCACACACAGAGCCGCGTTTGTTTAGCCCGGGAGCGGTGTCCCTGGTTACATAATTCGCCGGATGGCATCAGACCCGGCGTGTTTCTGAATCGCGCAGCGAAAAAGTGCGAGTTCTCTGTGGGCTCTCTACCTTTGCCTTCCTGAGGGTCAAGTGGAGAAGCAAGGGGGATTTTGGTGGGTGGGCTTGGGGACGCCAGCAGAGTGAGGCCTCGTCGGCCTTTTGCGGGGGCGAGGTGAAGGTTGGGACGCGAGGAGGGACTAGCTGTTTGGTCACAGTGAGAGTCCTGAAACTCTCCCCTTCCCCCATGTTGTTCTGGCCTCAAGGAATGTGTCCAAAATAATGGGTAGAATTTCCGTGGGGAGTAAGAATTAGTGTCGCCTTTTTCTGGAGAACTCCAAGGACTGGGGCCACCTGGCCTTGAGATTGAGGAGAGAGCACGCTCTAGGGACCAGACCGTAGCATTCCTGCCCTCCAAGCCCCCTCCAACAGGGCATGAAGGACCCGTGCTAAAATGAGGCCTAGAGGCTGGTGGGCAGCCAGGTGCAGGGCCTTGGTGGTGTCGATCCACATCYCTGTTTGGCAACGGTAATCAGCAGTTCACCTATTCTCGGGGTTCGTGTTCCCATGGAGCTCCCCCCAACTTGCCTAAAGGCAGAGCAGCTGGGATGGTGTGTCAGCCTCTTGGAATTCCCTTAGTGGAGGGGGAGGGGCACTGTTTCCTTCTCGCCTCTCTGGCCCTTTAAATAAGCCTATCCCGAGAAAGAACGGAGCCTTGCCTACTCGGATCCCCAAACCCAAGAAGGCCCCTGCCTCCCTGACCTTGGCGTTGCCAGGATCCCTGCTCTCCTGGCTGTATCACAGATCTGGCTGTGTGACCCAGACAGCAAATTCACCGTTTCTGCTGGCTGCTCTGCTGTGCTGAGCCTAAAAGGGGAGGCTTCCTGTGTTTATGATTCACTGCCAGACTCTTCCCACTCTCCCCAGCTTCATCCCCAGGAAAGGACCCTAAGCACTAGCCAGCAGTGAAGAAAGCTGGATGTGGAAGGATACAAAATGGGGCTGTGGTGAGAAGCCAGGAAGAACAACCCTGTGCTTCCTCCTTGATCCTTCTCTCCTGCGCTCCCTGGATGGTGGAGCCACACCAAGAGGAGGGAAAGCTGAACTGTGAAGTGGGATCTTACAAAGCAGAGCTGGAAGTTTCATCCACCAGGGCAAGTGGCAGGCCAGATAACAGCAGAAAGCAAAGCAGCTGGCTCCTTGATAGTGTCAAGTTGCTGGTGTTGGTTGGATTGTCTTAGAGTTCCGTATTTATTTTCTTTGTGTGTGTGTGGTTTGTCCTTCAGACTTATCCCTGGAAGAATCTGAATTCTGAAGCCAACACTGGGTCTCACCCTCCCCTCCCAATGAAATTTGACTGCATTCCAGAGAAGGCATACCTCTTTTCTGAACTGCTTGGGCACCCAGCAACCACCAAGCCAACTTGAGTCCCACATCATTTATAAACAGTACTGCATCTTAAAACCAAAACTAGGCTGAGGGGGCAAATGTTTTAATTAGCTCCTTGAAGAGTTCCTACCCTCCTCCCTCTCCACCATATCCCATCCCCAAGCCCTGCTTAGAATTAGTGTGAGGCAGTTTATTAAGTAAATTTCTGGAAAGAAACAAATTGCTCTTAGCTTGAGTAGCTTTTTAGTAAAGTTGTTTTCCATTGCAGTTTTTTTCCCCCCTTCATTTTTAGCATTCTCCTCTCTGAGCTTTAAGGCTGTCTGGGTGTGTTGATGATTCAAAGGTAATTACAGTAGGGGAAGTAGAACAAAGTTCTGAAAGCTTCGATGATAAAAGCACCAAAATTGGATCATCTTCCCAGACAGATGGATGAAATGGCTTCCTGGTACAGCAAGGACAGGATTGTGTGTAACATCAAAAATAAAAGAGAAAAGTTAATATCAGTTTGGCAAGAATGGCCACTTATTGCAGCCCCATAGGAGTGTGTCACCCCCTTACTGGGAGGTTGTGCTGTAGGTTTTGTGCTTTGATGGGGAAAAGCCAAGGGATTGGGGCCCATGCTGTGACCTACCAGTGTGAAATAAAACGTAGGCAGCCTCTTCCCCAGCTCAGTGACCTGCAGCCCTGGGGAGGGGGGTGGAGTCAGAGATACTTTCTTGTGGGAGAGACCTGATGATGCCCCTTCTCTGGGAGGGATGATGAACCTTTGGATTCTCACATGTGAAACTATGCATGTTCTGATAGATAATGGTAAGACTTCCTCTCAGACTCTCTGACATCCCTAAAAATTAGGATGGCAGCAAGTTTTTCTAGCTCCTGCTTTCTCCACAGAAGGGAGAAATTCTGCCTTATTCACTCAAGAAACTGTCCAAACACCTTTTGCTATAGAGGTAGCTAAGCCCTTAATTTGGAAAGCCGAAAAAGGAGTCTTGCTGGCCCTTCTTCCTCAGCTGGCTCTGTGGGTGGGGTGCTCCTTGGCTGAGCTGCAGGGCCAGGGTGTATGCTTATGCTTTCTCCTCTCTCCAGTCCAGCCTTGGTCTTTTCTAAAGACCAGAGACCACTGAGGCTTACCCCTGTTTCTCCTTCGGAGCTTTTTCTCCGCTTTGGTTAGGCCTTTGTGGCTATTTCAGCTTGTGTTTGCTGAGTTAGGAGTGTTCCTAACTCAGCAACAAAGTTTATAAGTTTGTAAATGCTCAACATTCAGAGCTGGAGCTTCCCAGGTAATTTAGAGTCACTGAGCAGGACTTGGGAATTTCTGTGAAAAATTCCTCAGGGGAGTGGCAGAGGTGGTGGTATTCCTGTCTCCTCCCTCTGAGCTAGAGACAACTTGAGAAAAGTTAAAAAAAAAAAAAATGAAGTGGTTGTTTCTTTTGTGTGGAATTCCCAAATACTTTAGTGTGGATTTGTTAAAATGGTAAATACTATAGAAGTCACATTCCTAGCCCAGGTGGAATCGATGTTCCCAACCTCTGTGGAGAATTAATAGAAATGCTCTTAAATATGGGAAAGACAATATACAAATATACAGGGTGTGTGTGTGTGTGTGTGTGTGTGTGTGTGTGTACGTGTACATACAGTTTCTCTTCACTTTTCTTCCTCAACTCTCTTCCTCCTAGCTTATGGGTATTTGTTTCTTATTTACACCTTGGGAAGTTTGAGTCTTGGATTGGGCAAAATGGTATCAAGGTAATGTGCAGAGGCAGTAAAAAAAATGTTCACTGTTATTGGGAATAATTGTCCCAGTTGGTTCAGGCCTGGGTTCAAATACTGTTCTACCTATTCACAGTGAGATTTGACAAATTACTTTAGTATTCCAAGCAACTTATCTGTAAAATAGGAATAATAATATCTATCTTTCTATAATGCCAGCACTTAGTAAATGATTAATAAATGTTAATGTCCCTTTTTTTAATGTAGCTAGACTGCCACACTATTCTCCTTCCATTCCAAGGACACATAGGTTAAACAGCAGTCATGTGGATTACTGCTGAGGGGGATTCAATTCAGAGGGTACACTAATGTGGGGGTTTGGGCCTTCTGGAAGAATCAACCTCCTTCCTGCACAGACCCCTTCTTTATATTACTGTGACTCGGAATGGGATTTTATCTGCACGTGCCTTGAGTAGCACTTATACCTTGGGGCTTCAGCCATTCTGTCTAGTGCCTGGGCATCTAGGAGGAGGCCAGGGAGTAATATGCCTCGTATAAGTCTCTGAAGTCTTAACTAAACCTTCATGGCAGTTGTGGGACCTCCCAAAGATGGCTATAACAATACTCAAGAGGACAATGTGCCACATTCTCTTACAGTTTGCATTTGCTTTGAGAGTTAATGAGCTCTGAGAAATTCAGATTCTTTTAAGGAATCTTAATAACAAGATGGGAAAAGAAACAGGTTTTGAAGAGAAATAGATATTCTTAAACTATGCCTTCGCAGCCTTGGTTTGGAGGTAGAACATTGAGAGAGCACAAAGTAGCATTAAATTGCTTTTCATTCTGTCTCAGCCTGGCCAGATCTGGGAAGCTTGGAAATTAATTCACTTGTGGGGGGTGGGTAAATATGGGGTGTGGCTCTGACATAATTCTTTCCCTCTTCTGAAGTGGGGGATAGTTCCCAATTGGGACACAGATGAGCATGTTAACATGCAAATCTTATGAAAGAACTAGTAAAAATCAAAGTGGAGAAGTTGATTTCTTAGAACTGGAAGCCTCTCTGGACCAGAAATCAACTAAAATGCAGTTTCTTTGTCAGCAA